TTTATTGAAGAGGATATCTTTTCTCCAATGTATATTTTTGGAACCTTTGTCTAATATAAGAAACTGTAATTATGTAGGTTAGTCTCTGTGTCCTCTGTTCTGTACCATTGGTCTATAAGTCTATTTTGGTGCCAATCCATGCCATTTTTGTTACTATTGCTCTGTAGTATAGTTTAAGGTCTGGTGTAGTGATGCCCTATGCTTCACTCTTCTTGCTAAGGATTGCTTTAGCTATTCTGGGTCTCTTATTTTTCCAGATGAATTTCATGACTGCTTTTTCTATTTCTATGAGGAATGTCATTGGAACTTTGATTGGAATTGCATTAAATCTGCATATTGCTTGTAGTAGTATGGTCATTTTGACAATATTACTTCTGCTTACCCAAGAACAAGGTAGACCTTTCCATCTTCTAAAGTTTTCTTTAATTTCTTTCTTTAGCATTCTGTAATTTTCATTGTAGAGGGCTTTCACCTCTTTTGTTGATTCCCAAGTTTTGGGTTGTTTTTTTTTTTTGAGACTATTGTAAATGGGGTAGTTTTCCTCCTTTCCCTTTCAGAGGATTTGCCACTGATATACATAAATGCCTTTGATTTATGGGTGTTGATTTTATATCCTGCTACTTTGCTAAATTCATTTACTAGTTCTAGAAGTTTTCTGATGGAATTTTTTGGGTCTTCTAGGTATAGAATCATGTCATTCCAAATACTGTCAATTTGAATTCTTTTTTTCCTATGTGTATTCCTTTAATTTCTTTCATCTGTCTATTTGCTCTGGCCAGTGTTCAAGAACTATGTTAAATAGAAGTGGTGAAAGAGGGTATCCCTGTCTTGTCCCAGTTCTTAGAGGGAATGTTTTCAGTTTTTCTCCATTTAGAATGATGTTGGCCTGGGGCTTAGATAGATAGCTTTTATGATATTGAGATATGTTCCTGTTATCCCTAGTTTTTCTAATATTTTGAACAGGAAGGGGTGCTGTATTTTGTCAAATGCTTTTTCTGCATCTATTGAGGTCATCATATGGTTCTTATCTTTAAGTCTATTGATGTGATTAATTACATTTATTGATTTTTATATGTTGAACCAACATTGCATCCCTGGCATAAACCCCACTTGACCATGGTGTATTATCTTTTTTATATGTTCTTGTATTATATTTGCCAGAATTTTGTTGAGAAGTTTTTGCATCTATGTTCATTAGAGATATTGGTCTGAAGTTTTCTTTCTTTGATGTGTCTTTGGTTTTTGGAGTCAAGGTGATATTGGGCTCAAGAATGAGTTTGGAAGTATTCTCTCTTTTTCTGTTTCATAGAATAATTTCAGAAGTATTGGTATTAGTATAAGTTCTTCTTTGAAGGTCTTGTAGACCTAATCTGTGAATTTATCTGATCCTGGGCTTTTCTTGATTGGTAGGCTTCTGATGGCATCTTCTATTTCATCGCTTGAAATTGATCTATTTAAATTGTGTATATCATCCTGATTCAATTTGGGCAAATCATAAGACTCTAGAAATTTGTTGATGCCTTCAATATTTTCTATTTTATTGGAGTACAAGATTTCAAAATAATTTCTAATTATCTTCTATATTTCTGTAGTGTCTGTTGTGATATTTTCTTTTTCATCATGTATGTTAGTATTTTTTCTCTCTCCTTCTCTTCATTAGCATAGCTAAGGGTCTGTCAATTTTACTTATATTTTCAAAGAACCAACTTTTTATTCTGTCAATTTTTCAATTGGTTTTGTTTGTTTGTTTGTTTGTTTGTTTGTTTCAATTTCATTGATTTCAGCTCTGATTTCTAATTTCATCCCATTATGATCGATAGAATGCAGGGTAGTTTCTCAAATTTTTAAATTTGTTAAGAGTTGCTTTGTGGCATAATACATGGTCTATTTTACAGAAGGATCCATGTGCTGCTGAGAAGAAAGTGTATTCACTTGTTGAAGGATGAAATATTCTATATATGTCAGTTAAGTCTAAGTTATTGATTGTATTATTGAGTTCTATAATTTCCTTGTTCAGCATTTGTTTGGAACATCTATCCAGTGGTGAAAGAGGTGTGTTAAAGTCACCAGAATTATTTTGTTGTTGTCTATTTGACTCTTGAACTTGAGAAGAGTTTGTTTGATGAATGTAGATGCTCCATCGTTTGGGGCATATATATCTATAACTGTTATGTCTTGTTGATGTATGTTTCTCTTAAGCAGTATGAAATGTCCTTCTTTATCCCTTTTGATTAACTTTGGCTTGAAGTCTACTTTATTTGATATGAGGATGGAAAGCCATGCTTGCTTCTGCAGTCCATGTGAGTAGTATGATTTTTCCCAACCTTTCACCTTCAGTCTGTGAATGTCTTTTCCTATGAAATAAGTCTCTTGAAGGGAGCATATTTTGGGGTCTTTTTTTTTTTTCAATCTAATCTGCCAGTCTGTCTTTTGTTTGGTGGCGGGATGGACTTGGGCCTTCCCTGGGCCCTAGCTCCCACGCAGTTCAGTGAGATGGGTCTGGGCTGGGCCTGAGCCCCAGTGGGAGTCTGCCAGTGGGTGCTCCTGCAGAGCTCTCCTGGTGGCAGGATGGACCCTGGCCTAAGCTGGGCCCTAGCTCCCATGCAGGTAAGTGAGCAGATCCAGGATTATTTTTTAATCTTTACATAATAGTACTAAATTTTACTTAAGAAAAACAATGTGAGAATATACAAAGGATCTAAAATAAAATTAATGAGGAATGCTAGTCCTACCAGATATTAAGATATATTTTGAACTTATAATAATTTATGTATATAATAGGGAAATATTTCACAAATTGCAAAGAATGTATATCTAAATAATATGAAAATATTGTTGAAATTAAAATGGTTTTCAAGTAAGAGGAAAGAAATTATTTAGTAAATTATATTAAGGCAATTGGTTTGTTATTTGAAAAAAAAATAAATTTAGATCTCTTCTTTATTCCATTCACCCAAATAATGAATAAATGCATTAAAGAGCAGAAATAATATCAAAAGTAAAAAGATTAAATGGAAAACATTTTTATAGGCAGTAATAAACACAGAACAAAATTCAGAGGTCATGAAGAAATGAATTAATATATTTGAATTCATTCAACCTTTCTATAGGATGAAAAATAGAAAGTCTAATAACAAATGAGGGAAATTTTTAATATTGTTTTTAAAACTATTATCCTATGCCAATCCATAAAAATGTAAAATGAATAAAGAAGTAATCAAACAAAATTAAAATAAAACAAGACAAAAAAAGAAGAAAATGAAACTAGCCAATTAGGAATAAGTAGAAAGTCATAAAAAACATTTTCTTTTTGGAGGGGGGAGGATGAGGTGGGTACCAGGGATTGAACTAAGGGGCACTCAACCACTGAGCCACATCCCCATCCCTATTTTATATTTTATTTAGAGACAGGGTCTCACTGAGCTACTTTGTGCCTCGCCATTGCTGAAGCTGGCTTTGAACTCACGATCCTCCTATCTCAGTTTTCCCAGCTGCTGAGATTACAGGCCTGCACCACACTCACAACTATAAAAAAACATTTTCAATTTTACTTCTACTTTTATTCTTTTATTTTTTTAAATAGAGCTTTATACTTAAGATACATAGTAGAGGGGTCATCCCAATGAAATCATGCATGAAATTAGATTTCAGTTCACAATCCCCCCTTTTCCCTCCCCCTTTCACTCCTATTCTCCCTGTCCTCTAGCATTCTACTCCCTCTACCCTGTTAGACTTCCATTCACTCATTTATTTATTCATAATCTTTTTAGTTATACATAAAGGTGAAATTCACTGTGTATATTTATATATGCACGTAACATGATTTTTCAAGAATTCATTCCACATTGCTCCCCCTTCCCTCCCTCCACTATGACTCTCCATCTCCTTCTATACTACTGATATTTCCTATGTTTTTGAGTTATCCTAGCCTTCTCTCCCCCTTTCCTTTATTTTTATTTAGCTTCTGTATATGAGAGAAACCATTTGACCTTTGAGTTGCTGAATCTGAGTTGTTTCATTTAGCTTGATTTTCTCCATTTCCATTCATTTACCAGCAAATGCCAAAATTTCATTCTTCTTAACAGTTGAGGAGAACTCCATTGTGTGTGTGTGTGTGTGTGTGTGTGTATATATATATATATATATATATATATATATATATATATATATATCTCACAATTTCTTAATCCATTTATCAGAGAGGCAGCTGGGTTGAAAACATAATTTACCTATTGTGAATTGTGCTGGTATAAACATTGATATGGCTTCATCACTATATTATGCTAATTTTAGTGCTTCGGGGGAAATACCAGAGTGGATTAGCTGGATCATAGATGGTTCCATCTCTATTTTTTTGAGGAATCTCTATACTGCTTTCCAGAGTGATTGTACTAGTCTATAGTCCCACCAACCATGTACAATTATACATTTTCTCCCACACTCTTGCCAGCATTTATTGTTTATATTCTTGATCATTGCCATTCTGACTGCAGTGAGATAAAATCTTAATGTTATTTTGATTTTTCCCCCTCAATGTGAAAGATATTGAACATTTTTCATATATTTATTGGCCATCTGTGTTTCTTCTTTTGAGAAGTTTCTGTTTAGATTTTTGTCCATTCACTAATTGGGTGTTTGGGGGATTTATTTCTTTGTTTTGCTTTGTTGGTGTTGCCTTTTTGAGTTCTTTATATATTCTGGATAATGATCCTTTATTAGGGGAGTAGCTGGCAAGATTTTATCCTGTTCTGTAAGCTCTCTCTTTATGCTCTTAATCCATTTCCTTTGCTGTCCAGAAGTTTTTTAATTTGATGGCATCCCATTTATTGATTCTTCATCTTATCTCTTGTGCTTTCGGTTGTCTTATTAAGGAAGTCACTGACAGCACCAATATATTGGAGTGTTGACCTTATGTTTTTTTCTAGCAGTTTCAAGATTTCTGGTCTAATTTTTAAGCCTTGACCTGAATCAGTTTGACTCTACGCCGGGTGAGAGAAAGAAAGAAATCTAGTTTCATTTTTTACACGTAGTTCTCTTAGTACCATTTGCTCAAAAGATTATCTTTTCTCCAAAATGAATTTTTGACACCATTGTCAAATATCAGATGGCTGTAAGTACATGAGGCTTTCTCTGTGACTTCTGTTCTGTTTCATTGGTCTTCATCTCTATTTTGATGCCACTACCATGATGTATTTGTTATGATAGCTCTATGGAATAATTTCAGATCAGGTATTGTGATGCCTCCTGCATCTCTTTTCTGGCTGAGCTTTGCTTTGGCTATTCTGAGTCTCTTATTCTTCCAAATGAATTTGAGAATTGTTTTTTCTGAATTTATGAAGAATGTCATTGGTGTTTTGATGAGGACTGCAATAAATCTATATATTGCTTTTTGTAGTATATCCTTTTTGGCAATATTAATTTTGCCCATCCAAGAACATGGGAGATCTTTCCATGTTCTAGGATCTTCTTCAATTTCTTTATTCAATGTTCTATAATTTTAATTGAAGGGCCCTTTTACCCCTTTGGTTAGATTAATTTCCAAGTTATTTGATTTGTTTTGAGGCTTTGTGAATGGAATGGTTTTTCTGATTTCTTCATTGACTGAATCACTGTAGGAATATAGGAACTCTATTGATTTATGGGTGTTGATCTTGTATCCTGCTACTTTGCTAAACTCATTTATAAACTCTAGAAGTCTTCTGGTGGAATTTTGGGGGTCTTCCAGATTCAAGATCATGTCATCAGCAAACAGAGATTGTGTGACTTTTTCTTTTCCTATTTGTATCCCTTTGATTTTCCTTATCAACCTGGCTAATGTTTTGAGGACTACATTGAACAGAACAATAAAAGTGGACAGCCTTGTCTTATTTCTGATTTTAGAGGAAATGTTTTTACTTTTACTTCTTTCGGTATGATTATTAACTTTTGTGTTTGTGATAAACAGCCTTTATGATGTTAATGTAAGTTCCTTCCATCTCTAGCTTCTCCAGAATGTTTAACATGAATGGGGGGTGATAGATTTTATCAAAGGCCTTTTCCACATCTATTGAGATGATTATGTGATTCTTGTCCTTAATTCTGTTAAAGTGGTGAATTACATTTATTGATTTGTGTGTGTTGAACCAATCTTGCATTCCTGAATGAAACCCACTTGGTCATGATGTATTATCTTCCTGATGTATTTGGGGTGGGGGTGGGGGTGGAATTACGGAAGATTGAACATATGAACTTAGACCACTGAGCCACATCTCTAGCCCCATTTTGGATTTTATTTAGAGACAGGGTCTCACTGAGTTGCTTAGTGCATCACTGTTGCTGTGGCTGGCTTTGAACTCATGATCCTCCTAATTCAGCCTCCTAAACCACTGGGATTACAGGCATGTGCCACCATGCCTGGATCTTGATGTATTTTTTAATGCAGTTTGAAAATATTTTATTAAGGATTTTTGCATCTATGTTCATCTAGGTTATTGTTCTGTAGTTCTCTTTCCTTGATTTACCTTTGTCTGGTTTTGGTATTAGGATTATACTGGCTTCATAGAATGTGTTCCTCCCTTTCAATTTCATGGAATAATTTGGGAAAACTGGTGTTAGTTCCTCTTCAAAGTTCTGGTAGAAATCAGCTGAGAATCCATCTGGTTCTAGTCTTTTCCTTTTGGAGAGGTTTTTAATTGCTTTTTCAATTTCATTAATTGGTTTTGGTCTGTTTGGATTTTCTGTATCTTCCTGATTCAATATGGGCAAGTCATATGTGTCTAGAAATTTATCAATGTCTTCTAGATATTCCAGTGGATTGGAGTATAAATTTTCAAAACACTTTCTGATTGTCCTCTGGATTTCAAAAGTGTCTGTGGTGATGTCTCTTTTAGTCACTAATTTTGTTGATTTCTGTCTTCTCTTTCTTTTGGTTAGTTTGGTTAAGGTTTTATCAACATCATCTTTCGAAGAACCAAGTTTTCTTTGCATTGATCTTGTGTATTGTTTTTTTTAATTCCCAATTTCATTAATTTGGGCTCTGATCTTAATTATTTTCTATCTTCTACTGATTTTGGAATTCGTTTTTTATTCTTTTTCTAAGGCCTTAAGGTGGAGCAAAAGTTTATTTATTTGGGATCTATATTTTTTTTGTAGGCACTTAGTGCTATAAATTTTCCTCTTAGGACTGCCTGCATAATGTCCCAGAGATTCTGATATATTGTATTTTAGTGCTCACTGGTTTCTAAGAATTTCTTGATTTCTACTCTCATTTCTTCTTTGATCCATTCTTCATTTAGGAGATTATTTGTTCAATCTCCATGTATTTATGAAGTTTCTATTATTTTTCTTGCTGTTGAATTCTACTTTCATCTCATTATGATCTGATAGGATACATGGGATTATATAGATTACTTTGTACCTGCTAAGATTGACTTTGTGACCTAGAATATGGACTATTTTGCAAAAACTTCCATGAGCTGCTGGGAAGAAGGCAAATTTAGCTGCTTTGGTGTGAAATAATCTATAAATGTCTATTAGGTCCATTTGATTTATAGTTTTATTTAGATTGAAAATATTTTTATTGGCTTTATGCTTTGATGACCTATTAGCAATAAGGGTGTGTTGAAATTATCCAGTATTATTGTTTTGGGGTCTACCTTTGATATCATGGAGTGTTTTTTATGTAACTGGGTACACTGATATTTACAGCATAAATATTTACTATCATTATATCTTCTTGTTGGATTGTTCCTTTACCAGGATGTAGTGGCCTTCTTTGTCTCTTCTGATTAATATATGCTTGAAATCTACTTTGTCAGAAGATAGATACTCCAGCTTGTTTGCAGAGTCTGTTGACATGAATATTTTTTTTCCATTCTTTTATCTTCATCCTGTGGGTATCTTCATGTATAAGATGAGTCTCTGTAAGCAGAATATAGTGAGATCTTGTTTTTTGATCCATTCTCCTAATCTGTTTCTTTTACTTGGGGAGTTGATATGCTTTACATTCAGTGTTAGCATGTTTGTGGTTTCCTGCCATTTTCGTTTTTTGCTATATTTAATACTGTTTTGAATCTCCTTTAGTATATTATTCTTCCATTGAGCTTCCTCTATTTGGGAATTTGGAGTTTGTTTTTCAGTTCTTCTGTGTGCCATTTATCTTTGATTATTCTTCATAGTGCTGGCTTAGTGGTCATGAATACTTTTAGTTTATTCTTGTCATAGATAGTTTTTTATATCCCCCTCAAATTTGAAACTGAGCTTTGATGGGTACAGTATCCTTGGCTGGCAGTTGTTTACCTTATGACTTTGAAAATCTCATTCCAGGTCCTCCTTGATTTTAGGAAATGAGTAGAGAAGTCTGAGTAAGCCTAATTGGTTTACCTCTAAATATGTCTTTATGTTTCTATGTTGCAGTTTTTAATATTATCTCCTATGTTCTCTTGGGTATTTTGATTATGTTGTGTCTTGGAGAACTTCTTGTTTGATTGGGTCTATTTGGGGGTCCTGTATGACTCCTGCATATGGCTATCTATCTATCTCATTTTTATATGGGATAAGTTTTCTGTGACTATCCCATTTAAAATGTTCTTAATGTCTTTAGTTCATATCTTCATGTTCTCTTCTATCCCAGTGATTCTAAGATTTGGTCCCTTGATGTAGTCCCAGAGTCTTTATATATTTTGATCATGTTCTATAACTTTTTATTTTTATTCTTATCTAGGTACTCAAGTTCATTTCCCTATCTTCAAGGCCTAAAGTTCTGCCTTCATGGGCTGAAGTTCCATTTTCTACACAATCTCATATGTTAGGGATACTTTCAAGGGAATTTTTAATTTGACTTGACTTTTATTTCTAAAACTTCTGATTAATTTCCTTTTGATATTTCTAATTTCTTATTGAAGTGATCTTTCATCTCCTGTATTTTCTTGCTTAATTCATAGCTTAGGTCTTCTTAGTTCATTTAACATTTTAATAATCAGTTTCTTACAATTTTTCTCTGGATTTTGCCCACTTTGATATGAGTGGGATCCTATACTGGGGGATTCTGAATTTGGGGGGATTCTTTTTGTCTGTTTCCTCATGTTTTCAGAGTCTTAGATTTGCTCATGGATTGAGATGGGTTCCCATTCCTATTTTTTACATATGACCTTTTTTTGTGTGTGTAATATTTTATTTGTTCTAGAATTTCTGTTTTTTATATATAAGATGTCATGGACCTGAAGTCCTTTTCTGATTATTCCTCTTTGTATCCTGGTTGTTAGTTTGGTGGGGTTTCTTGGTCTCCTCAATTTTTGAGTTGGAGTAATGTTAAGGAGTCAGGTGAGGAGGCTATATCATGTTTGGGGTGAGATTCACTGTTGCCCAGTTAAGATGTGAGTACATCTCAGCAGCTGGATCTGCATTCTGTATCTTAAAGTGTCCCATTCTCTTTCCAGCCCCTCTTAGAGGGGGGGGGGGGGGAAAGCCAGTTTTGCCCCTAGTGTCATCAACGGATGTACAGCATTAAAATAAATGTTCAGTGTCTATTTTGACATCTATAATACTAATTGCCACTTCTATAGAAATGGTGGGGTAGCATTTAATAACAGTACCAACAAAAAAACATAAACTAGATCAGATATTCAACAGCAAGTGTTGCCTATGTTGACCACGTAATAATAATCACAACTTGAATGGGTTATGAATTACATAAACTACATAATTTCTGTTACTTCATGGGATTACAGTTTCTTAAGGAAAAGGAAATAGGGTAGGTAGCCAAGAGAAACATTTAAAGTGTTTGAAAAAGTGATCAGAAGAAAGGCAGGAGATGGGGAACAAGTGTCAATTGTAAAGAAGAAGGAAAAATAAATTAACTGACAGCAATGAAAAAAGAAAGAACAAGAGGAGCGGAGAACAGGAAATTTTGAATGCTGGAGGTGGGGGTGTGAAAAAGGAGAGAGAAGGGATCCCAGAACCTAGGTATGAACAAACCAGCAAATATAAGGTTGAAACAACTCCAACCCTCATATAATTGTACCTCACCAAGTCTAATCTAAGCTAAATAATGAACACATTAATAGGTCTCTCCTATTAATGCATGTTATATGAATAGAATAGACATATATATTCAAATTATCCACACAATGA